GTGTCCTGGTAAACAAGAGTCGGAAATCCCGACACACAGCACTGCCAGGCACTAAGGCAATCATAGACGCCCTGCAGCCGCGGACTCCGAATGTGAGTGCAGTTTCTTCTTTAGAGAGGCAGATACTCTGCGCCTTTTAACGAAATATAGAGAAAAAAATACAAGGTGTATTGGCAGTTGTTTTCAGGGACACGTGAGTTAACATAAATTGTAAGTTATATCAATGTTTTACATATGTGATTCAAAACATTAGAATTTCCATAAACTCGAGATGGTATGCCAGCTAATTCAATACGTAATGCCCGTAAGAGAAAACGGACTTCTACATACAATCAACACCAACAGGCTTTGTGTGAAATATAACAAAGTCTAGTAATGCTTTAAGTATCCTGGTGGTCCAGCGGTTATGTTCTCCGGTCACAGTCATAGGATTGTGGGTCGGGTCTAAATCCTAAGGTGGAATAAAATTCTATTAGAAGTCCGCGTGCCCTATTGGGCTAATATATATATATATATATTTATTTATATATATATTATATATCTATATATATATATATATATATATATATATATATATATATAAAATACTATATATTTTATTTTATATATATATATATATATATATATATATATATATATATATATATATATATATATATATATATATATATATATATATATATATATATATATATATATATATATATATATATATACATTAAAATCACTGTAGGTGCAAGTGAATTAATGCCCCAAGCGCTTTCGTGCACTCTCTAAGTCTGTACTCACCCCTGAAGATGTGAATTACAAAGCTTGGGAACTTTGTGTTTCTTCTTTTCCTTGTGGTTATTTATATATATATATATATATATATATATATATATATATATATATATATATATATATATATATATATATATATATATATATATATATATATATATATATATATATATATACTGCTAATGAATATGATGTATTTCTTTGTGTACGAACTTCTGTCCTGCATGGCAGTGAACAGTGACATCACCCACATGAATCTGACCTTTGTATACTGTTAATGAATATGATGCATTTCTTTGTGTATGAACCTCTGTCCTGCGTGGCAGTGAGAAGTGATACCACCCTTAGTGTCAAGACCTGACTGAATTACTCAGAATAGGCAAACTGTACTCCAAGCTTTGTCAATAAATTTGTTAAACTAAAAAAAAAAAACCCTCCCTCCCTTCTCCTCAGCCCCCTCCCTCTTCCTCCTCCTCAGCTCTCCCTTCTCGTATCTACATCAGGACAAGCCATTCAGTGTCATTTGCCGTGTTCAAGAGGCAAGAACACGTACGCTCTTAGCCTTAATATTCCATACTCTCATATATCTATCTCTATATTTAGGGTATGAACAAGTGGCAGATATATAACACCAGATTGTCTTCTATAATTCACTGTTGACCCGGGTATAGGAGTGTATATGGAGGCTTTATAGACGATCCGTCTCTCTCTCTCTCTCTGGGCGCTTGGCAGCCTTCTTTAAGAACGTCTATTGTTTAAGGGTTTAACTTTAGTATAAAGTGTGTGGTTTGGTTAGGTTAGGTTAGGTTATGTTAGGTTAAGTTAGGTTAGGTTACGTTATTCGTTTACTTTCCTGACTGACTGACTGATAAGAGGTTTTTCCTTGTTTTCCTCGAGGGATTAATATCGTACTCAAGGGGTCAAAACATCGGATTCAAAGGGTTAAAATTCCTCTTAAGAGGCTAAGACATGATACTCAAGGGTTAAAAATCCTAGACGGCGAATCACCCCTTGATACATCATAACAACAACAACAACAACAACACCCTACAGCAACATACCTTATTTTCCATTTTCTCTCTTGTCTTTCCCAGGATGAACAACTCCAGGGTTTAATGTGTCGAGGTAAGATTATGTCGGTTAGTCTTGTTTCACCTAAAAAAAAATGAAGTTTATTAAATTGACAAAGAGACAAAGATACGCATGTCATTCTGCGTCTTCCGCTCTCTTCTTCCTCCTTCTCCCCCTCCTCCTCCTTTTTCTTCTCCTCCTCCTTATTTTCCCTCTCCTCCTCCTCCTCTTTCCTCACTGTTAATTCTCTCCCACTCCCTTATTCTTCTCCCTCATTCTAGTAATTCATTCTCCATCTCCTCCAACATCATCAATTCTTCTCCCTGTCTCCTTCCCCCTGTCTCCGTTCCTCCTTCTCTTTCGTCCTTGTCCCATCTCCTCTCTCTCCTCCTTACCTACTTCCCTTTATCCTTTCCTTCTTCCCCTTTCTTCCTCCACCTCTCTTTCCACTCCCTCCTTGTTCCAGCTATACCTCTCAACCCCTCTGGGCTCCTTCCTCCTTCCCCTCCCTCACCAACTCATCCTCCTCTTACTCCTTCAATGTCTTCCACCTCCTTCCTCCCTACCTTCCCCTTCCTCCACCTCCTCCTCTTTTTCCCCTCCTCTTCCTCCGTCGGTCTCTCCCTCACCTACCTCCCTCCATCTTTCTATACCTCCATACCTAAGACCAATGATCCCCTCCTCTTCCCCTTCATATTCCCCCTCCCTCCTTCTATGCCTCCCTACCTCTATCCTTCCACCCCTTCCTCTTCTCCCCCCCTTTCCTCTTCTTCCCTCCTTCTCTTCCTTTTCGCGGACAATAAAGAATAACACACAACAGTTAATTAGGAACACCGTCATAAAGATTGGGTTTTCTCCTCTTATTGCCCAGGAAGTGGTTCTGTGGCTGGGCGATGTAGTAAAAACTTCCTGGGCGTGAGCTGGATTTTTTGGGGGCTGGCGGCTGTTGGTATAAGGGGTTCTCTCCTGAGGGGGCGCGGGGAGGCGGGAGGGGGCACTGTTGCTTAGGTTAGGCTCTGCTTGTCTTCCCGTCTGCTGGAATGTGTGTCTGCTTGTCTTCCCATCTGCTGGAATGTGTGTCTGCTTGTCTTCCTGTCTGCTGGAGTGTGTGTCTGCTTGTCTTCCTGTCTGCTGGAGTGTGTCTGTTTGTCTTCCTTTCTACTGGAATGTGTGTCTGCTTGTCTTCCTGTCTGCTGAAGTGTATGTCTGCTTGTCTTCCTGTCTGCTGGAGTGTGTGTCTGCGTGTCTTCCTCTCTGCTGGAGTATGTGCCTGCGTGTCTTCCTTTCTGCTGGAATCTGTGTCTGCTTGACTTCCTGTCTGCTGGAGTGTGTGTCTGCTTGTCTTCCTTTCTGCTGGAATGTGTGTCTGCTTGTCTTCCTGTCTGCTGGAATATGTGTCTGCTTGTCTTCCTGTCTGTTGGAGTGTGTGTCTGCTTGTCTTCCTGTCTACTGGAGTGTGAATTTGCTTGTTTTCCCGTCTACTGGAGTGTGTGTCTGCTTGTTTACCTGTCTGCTGGAGTATGTGTCTGTCTTCCCGTCTACTGGAGTGTGTGTCTGCTTGTATTCTTCTCTGTTATTGTTTATCTACGTTATCTGTTGGAGTCCGCTTGTGTGTCTACTGTCTACTCGTGTGTCTGCATTATTCCATTGGTTAGTCTGCTGTTGTCTGCTTGTAGGTCACTGTGCCTGCTTCTAGTTTGTCTGCGTTGGCTGTTTGTGTCTGTGAGACTGAAAGTGACTCGGTGAAGATGACTGGGTATAGGTCACACACACACACACACACACTACAAATACAAATATAAACATGAAAATTTTCCGACAAGATCAAAATACAGAAATTTACAAAAAATAACAAATACCCGTCTAATTAAAAAGACAAAAAAAAATACCATTCCAGGAATGTCGAACCAATAGACTCAATCAACACTATGTAAATGTTTTGAATTCGGGCCTAAGTGCCCGACTGATAATACTTGGAACTGACTGGAACATGCACGCATGTGTCATTTGTATAAAAAAGAAAGAAAGTACCCTTTTTGTCCGTTTCAGAAGGACAAGAGTGCGGT